CGAACGATTGCGGATGCTTGCGAACGATTGCGGATGCTTGCGTCCACAAACGCAACGACCTCGCGTCGCCTCCTGGACCCCTGGACCCCAACCTTAAAACGGGAACCCTTCTGCTACGCATTCGGGAAAAATCATTTGAGAATCTTGCGCACCAGTCTTTCCTTCTAAGAGTGCTTTGAGGAGAACATCGAGGGCTTGCTCCCGGGTGAGGAGCCGAAGCCAGGAGCCGAGAGCTGCTGAGCATGAGGTTCTTGTGTTTTGGTGTGCCTGAAAGGTGTTTCTATTGTGCTTCAGGGAGCGGAGAGGGCTCAAAGATCAGATCCATGACTGCACACCCAGCCCCACACATGTAAACGGAAACTGCAAATGGCACGAACAACTTATACTCTCACCTGCTATTATATACCGGAGTGCCATTCGACAGACATGGACAGAAAGGAAAACTCTCTTTGGAAGTGCTCCTGGTATGTTGGATTGAGGCCGAGCCACCTGGGTGTCCGCTCCTACATCAACCGGCGGCTCCATTCTGCTCTGGGAGAGGTCGTGCACGTGTTTTCCAAGACCCTATAAAGCCCCCTGGCCTGAAGGCACTGTTCGAGTGCCAGCGCTTCAAGGCGAAAGAAAACAAGGCTGAGGGCTATGCCAGGAGACACCCAGACCTAGGTATTACTAAGAAGTTACAGATGCCCGCAGAGGTGGAAGCGGCTGTTGGATATACGTAACGTGGTCGTGACTTGACCTTCACCTCATGCATGAACACCCTGAGATTTGCAAGGCGCTGAAGACCCCTCAGGGTGAGATGGCTTTCCTGGCCATGTGCGCAGAAGAGGTGTTAGGAGTTCACCCTGACGTCTTCCGGCTGAAGACGGGGTTTGCAGCAGCCAGGTACTTGCGGAAGAAGATGGCAGAGGCAAGGCCTTCATGCTGGGTGCTCTTTCAAATTGAAAGCAAAGTCATTCGCAACATGGTATCAAAAGCTACTAGCAGCAGGAATTTAAAACGCATCAATAACAATGACATGGTGCTAGATTGGTGCACAATCGTTCTTGTAGCGTCAGGCGCAGGACAGCTGAAGAAAGTTCCGCGGATGTTCTCGGCTGTTGGTGCTTTCGTGCCGCAGATTGATATTTGCGGCTTCTGGTTTCACTATTGGACTGGGAGGTCTCTGCGAATTCAGAGCACCAAGCAGCTTTTGTATGAATCTGATCGCCTGTCGTTGACCATGTGCTTTGTACCGGCTTACCAGACAATTAAGCCAGAGCTCGTCGCGCATCAAGTCGCCGCTCCCGCCGGCCACTTCGGCTCCAACAGGGGTGGACGTGACTCACCTCGACCCCTCTGCCCGAGAGGTCAAGTCTTGCGATGTGATGCGTCGAGCCATTGAAGTGCTGTCTTCTGGCAGGGCAGACGAAGAATGACCAACGGCCGGCGCCCAAAAGAACGTCGTCTGTTAAAGGGAGGACTCTCATGGCTTCAATGGCTTCCATGGCCTCAGCCTGCCGCCTCCGCCTCACGAAGCTCAGGTGCGAAGCCGCCGTCCACAGTGGCGAACGGCCGGTATCAGATCGAGAAGAAGCTTGGGGCAGGCACTCGTGTCTCTGAGCTTTTATGCGCCCCCCCTCGCCTGGTTCTTCGGACCTGTCACTTTGTCAGGCTGCTTTGGAGAGGCGGGACCTCAAAGATTCGATTCTGTTCGGCTTACAGGGGAGCATGGCTGGTGAAGACCTGCATGGAGAAGTTCCTAGTCTTTTAAAGAGCTCAGCTTAGGCCGCCAGTCCATTTCGTTTATGTGACTCAATGATTGCACTCGATTGCATTGCAGGTCTGGCAGGGCAGGGACAAGCAAACAAATGAAAAGGTTGCTGTCAAGTTCGAGGACCACTCCACGGAGAGTTGAGGGATCCAAGAAGCTGAACAGAAAGCAGTGTCTGTTCCTCTGGCTCACTTCGCCTTGTGCCTCCCAACTTACCATACATTGTCGCGAGCGCTTATGGTTTGCTCGACTCGTCTCAGATGTTTTTGGAGCACTGCAGTTCCAGCAGTCCACATGTAATCCCACAATCCAGTCCGTAGCAGCCCAATAAGTGTCGCCAGAGCTCATATCATGTCATACTCTACTTGAGTTAGCCCTACAAGGACTCCTCCGGCCATGCTCTGCAACTGGAGCACGAACAAGCAGTCTTGAAGCGCCTGGGCTGAAGCATCCGACCAATTCTTCTACTTGAATTACTTCCTGTACTGTGCTTCCTATGGTGCGTCTCCGTAGCTCCGGAACTGTAAGTCCTTTCGCTAACGAGCTGCTTGGCGGTGTCAGGCTCATGGCTCAGCCGCGGAAACCCCAGGGCTTTGCCGAGCTCTTCTGGTGCGGCCAGGAGGCAGAGTGCTCTAAGAGCTTTGCTGCTGATCCTGGCAGACGAGGATGACATAGCGCAATCACCGGGACTGTAGGGAAGTTCCTCGAGTTACCAGTGAGCAGGGATATGGCTTGCTGAGGTGTTGGCAATAGGCTCGCTCATTTGGCTGATGATTTGTTCCCCTAAAGGGAAAACACACGCGTGCTTTTCTGTTCAGCCTTCGTGGTCCTGTTGATTTTTTTAGTAGAGTTGGCTCGACATCTTCAAGAAATTGTGGGGTCCACTTGACAGAAGACACTGGGCACAGGCACATGGTGCACGACTTGTGTCTCTTGAGCTGCTCTCCCTCTCTGCCTCGCCAGCAACGCTTCATGTGCCTGGTCATGGAGATGCTTGGCAAGTCCCTCGAGGCAGAAAACTACATCTTTCCACTACAAGCGTCTACTCATCTAGAATAGATGATCTTGTCATAAGGTGGAAATATGTAGTGATAGCAAGAATACGCATACCGACGAACACCAGAAGACACCTGAAACCACTAGGCTACCATATATAACCATAATGGCATCTGCCATGTATCATAGTCTATTCTGCTAGCTGCTGGCGAAAGACTATATCTATATCTATGTGTATCTATATATATATATATTTATTTACTCATGCCTGGCCTGTGTGGCAGGATCGGCTTCAAGGCCTAGGGGGACAAGGAGGCGGCCCTCCACGCTTCAATCCGCAGCCCGAGCCCTCAGTTCAGGGTTCTCAAGGAATTTCGGGAGTTTCAGGTGTTTCAAGGGTATTGAGGCTTCCGGGTGAAGGGGATGGGGAGATTTATGCCTTCGAGCTGAGGACTGCGGTGCTCGTAGCAGACCAAGTGCTGCGGCGCATCGAGTACTTGCACTCCAAGGCTTTTCGGGGCTCAGACTTCTTCAGCTGCACGTTCCAAGCTTTTTCCCTCGCAGGGCATTGTCCATCGCGACATCAAGCCCGAGAATTTCATGTTTGGTATCAAGAGTAGGGTGAGGGCCTCGCTTAGAGACCAGGCACTTTGGCTTTTTTGCTCTCCAGCATCGAGACGGGGCAGTTTCCAGGTGCACCACCTTTATCTTATCGATTTCGGCCTCAGCAAAAAGTGCGCCGCTGCCTACCTGCCTTCGGGCACATGTCGTTCAGTTCTTCGTAAGAGATGAGGTTGCGGACCCCGAACCCTCCATCATGACCCTATTCCTTATTCGGGAGTGCCTCAAAGTATCCCCCACACAATCCTGCATTAGGACCCCCATAATCCGCTTATCTTCGCGCCCCCCGGGTCCCTATGTGGGAAAACCCCACGTTCCTTAGTGCCAGGTATTTCGACCAGAAGCACGTAGCGCTTCGGACGCAGCTGAGCCTCACGGGGACAGCTAGGCGCAGCCACCATCACCTGGCACTAGAGGGTTGTTTCTCAAAGCCGGTGGCTTTTCACGCCATAATTTATGCCCTGAAAGAGTCTTCATGCTGCTACTGGAGAAGTCTTTTAAGTGTCGGCATCCTTCTCCCATTCTGAACGGTGACAGGTATGCGTCCATCAACGCCCACAAGGGCGTTGAGCAAAGTAGGCGCGACGATTTGGAGGCAGGTTGCTTGACCCCAAACTTCAGCCTCAAGCCGCCCTGTGATCGAAGCCTTCAAAAGAACAACGGGAAAGATGCACCTTGTGAAGCACCTGCCTGCTGGCAGCTCGTTATCAGGCCATCGGCCATATGCTGATGTACTTCCTTCGAGGACTGCAGACCGAAAGAGGCGAAGCAGGTTTGGTTCCGGCTCAGTCTCCTTGTTGCCAGGATCCCTCCCTTGGTCTGGTCTGGATGCCAAGACCCAAGAGGAGAAGTACAGGAGACTCCTCAAGATGCCATTCTCGATATATCGATGCATCGATGCATGCGCTTTAGTGGGCTGTAGAAGTGGTCCCGGGTGGTGTGGGGTGCGCTGTGCAGGAAGATCCGTGAGAAGAAGGAGTCGACTCCATTAGATGAGCTTTGTGCAGGCGGAGATGAGGGCGGCTCACACGGCTGATCTTCATTCACCTCAGTTGACTCAGGCTTCCCGCCTGCCTTCAAGATCTACCTGCAGACAGCCCGGTCTCTGGAGTTCAAGGCAAAGACTGGGCTGAAGGCTAGCAGCAGCAAGCAGCAAGTTCTTCCCCAGGAGCGGCCAGACTACGTTGCCCTTCGGAAGCTGTTTGCCGACGTCCGCGCCGAGATCGGCCCCCAGGAGGACAGGTTGCCGGTCTTGTGGTCGCTACGGCAAACACGCCGCCTACAGAAAGCTTTGATCCAGGACCACGGCTTCCAGTTTCTAGAGGGGCGAGAGTTAGGCACACGTGAAATCTCAGGTCTTCACCTGGATGTGCTTCGACTGCATGCCTGCGAGGCACGCTAGAGCCTCTGGAGCAGATGGAGCTGCGGCAGCCGGATGACCAGGCATCAAGACATGGAACGACCGATCTGCATTTGGAGCGATCTGTCCACACCTGTCGGCAATGGAAGGCTCCTACGGGTGGCTTCTCCTTTTGCTTCTGCGGCAGCAAGCTGGGGCCCTGGCACACCTTGCACTCACAACCTCACGTGCCCCGCAAGCCACATGCACGTGTTTCGTGTTGTTGCTGCGTGAAGGTCAGCGGTGCGGGACTAGGCCAGGAAACCGGGCGAGATGTGGTCTCTTCTGGCCAAGCTCAAAGAGGTGCTCCCTGGCTCCCTCGCCTGGCAGGTGCTCAGAAGCCGCCGAAGCGCGGTCTTCTGTTCCATCACACACAATGCATCTTTGCACTCTGGCGTTTAAACGCTGCAGAGACAGGAGACAATTGGGGCAAAGGTCCTGTATTCAGCTGGCAGGATTTTGGGGCCATGTTACTAACTCCCTTAGCTCTAGCCCATGCCGGAGACTGGCGCACATCCGACTGGAATCCTGCGCCAGCACGTGTCACCGCGAACTGAGAGTGGGAGAGGGTAGGACACGACAACAGTTCGGAAAACGCATCCAGCGCCGCGAGTTCGCCGGGTGCAACAAAAAGGCCGTGTGAGAAGTAGGGCACGTGAAGCACAAATGCGCACATTGTTTGTGACGCAGTAGTTTCCATTTTTCCATTATCCATATTCCACCCCTGTATATCCTGATATATCATCCCTATATACCCCAATACCGTCAATACCCCTATTTGCATGTGTTGCCGAAAGGATGTGCTCTGCTCTCTTCGCCGGTCCTGACCTGCTCCGAGCACGCCTTGACTTGAGCTGGCGGGACCGTGGCGGTTGCCGCCTTGTTATGGATTTTTCGGAGCTGGAGGCTGGAACCTAGGGAAGCGTTGAGGATTTCTGGATGATGTGGAATTCTTCCCTGAGAGGTGCCTCCCTGCCCTCCAGCAATCTCGCCGCTGCTGGCGGCTGCCCTCGTCCCAAGCCTTGGGTGCCTGAGAAGTTTTGAAGGCTGTTTTGGTCGAGGCTTATTTCGGCAATGTGGAGGATCTCATGGATGGCTTGAGCCTTGCCGGAAGAGGAATCGGCAGAGGCTGCAGGCATTCCTTAGGCATAACGGAGCACTAGCAGCTTAAAGAGGACCAGCAGTACTTACAGGAATGTAGAAGCGTCGGGGTGTTGCCAAGATGAAAACCCGAACCTCTTTTCGTTCCGAGGAGGGACGGCGAGGACCTCGAAGCGCAGGATCCGAAGGACCCTGGCTTTGGCTGCTTTCTTTAGGAATTGTAGGAAAGGGTTTAGGCTTTATGTCCGTGGGGACTCCAAATAGAAACGCTCCAGTACAGCTGGTTTTATCTTCTTCTTCTTAGGGTTGCTTGAAGCCCAAGGATGGCTGCAGGCCGCTTCATGCCGCGGTCCTCGCGGAGCAAGTTGAGGCAGCAAGCTACCTGCTGAGGCCGCAGAGGAGTGCGATAGGTCTGGTTGGTGAATGGGGTTCAGAGGGATCAGGGACCCATGATGAAAACAAATCCAGCATAATCCAACATGGACGACTGCGACTATGCATAGATATGCATAGTTGGCTCTCAACATCATGCGAATGCCTTCCGCGAAGTCATCTATAGTAGAATCTCCTGTTGCCCCGTTAAGTGTAGCGTGATCCAACAGGATTATTCAGGATAATAATTTAAGATATTATACTATACTATAACATGATATATTGGAATATATTTTAAGTATACTTAGTATCTTTTGCCTCAGAGATTGTTGGAAAGGCAGCGAGCTGAACTGGAGAGCATCGGCCCGGACGGATTGACGCCGCTGCTGCTCGCGTGCCGTTCGGATGCTGGGAGGCCACCGGGACACCGGGACAACAAAAGATCAACAATTGCGCCTTCCCAAAATTTTCCCAGTTGTCTATGTCTCCCTGAAGAACTGCAACCGCATACAATCCTGACTGTCCGGACATTGCAAGGCCATGCATAAATTGAATGTGAGCTGTCAAGCTGATCCCAGTTCGAGCCGCCCCCAAGTTACAGTTGCAAATCGCGTCGATGTGGGCAGGATGGTGCGTTTGCTGCTTACGTGCTCAGCGGATGCAGCAGCACTGGACGCCTCTGGTTGTAACGCAGCTGACATCTGCGCCAAGCACTGCTCGTACAGAGCACAAAGGGCTTTGGCCGGGGAGCCGGAAACTCCAGAGATGACGGACGAGGCAACCTCTCGGCATAGGTATGGATGCGTGTGCCTTGCTGCTTGGGATCAGGAGGGGCCGGCGCGGTCGCAGCCAAGAGGGCCAGGAGAGCCACAAGAGCCTCCACAAGAGCCCCAGGAGCCCTGGTTTGGTTCGGCTGTGCACCCAGCGCAGGCGGAGAGGGATCCCCAGTATGAGGCTTGGGATGAAGAGCTCGAAAGGCAAGTTCAAGTGGCCCATGCTGTGTGAGAAAATGCGCCGCGGGGCTCGCGGAGTGTGGAGTGCTTTGCAGTGGCCCCCAAATCTCCCAAGTACAGCAAGCACCAGCAGAGGCCTTCCTTGCACAGCGCAGCGTTTCACTCCAAGCGCATGCTTGGAGGCTCCTGCTCCTCGGCCAAGCCGTCCGAGCCCGGAGCTTCCCAAGCCCCGCGCGTTGCATCCCTGCATGGCGAGTCGCCTGCGACCTGCGTTCGGGCCCCGGTCCGCCAGTCCCGAATCAGATGTCGTCACCGCTTTGGCAATCGCACAGTCCCAAGGCCATGCCAAAGCATTTCGGGCCCCACCTCCGCGAGATGCGGAATAGCCACAGGTGCAGCCTGCCGCAAGAACAAGGCCCTTGTTTGTCGTTTGCTCCCCAGGCAGGCACCGAGTTCCATTTACCCCGAGAGCATCCAGGAGCCGGCATCCCAGCATGTTCGCTTGAAGAGAGCCGCCCAGCAGTTTCGTACGCATTTGCCTCCTCTGCCAAGGATTCGTAGGTCCCTGTACTGGATCTTGGAAGAGCCCGATGCCAGTGCGGGCCCTCCTACCTTTGTCAAAGCGACATCCTGCGGCAGTGATTCACCATGCGCGCTCAGGCTCTGATGTCCCGCGTGTCCTGACCATTGGGGTGGCCAGAATCTCTCTACGGCAGTCCAACTCAGAAACAGAGTGTCTCAGCGGCTCAGTGGAGGCCTGCCTGAACGTGCTGCTGATCTTGCTGTCTTTGGTGAGTTTGGTCATGGAGACCACGCCAGCGTGGGAGCCAAAGCTGCTGCAAAGCTGCAGAACCGCAGAACTTCCGCGACGCTACGCGATGCGTTTTGAGAGGGTCTTCTGTCTGAGGGTCCGGGAGACAACCTCCGAGGAGACTGGCAAACACTCAAAGGGAGAGCAATCTGAGAGTGGAAGCGAGATTGTGACAGGACATGTGGCACAACATCGAAATCGTGACAACAGGCGGAATTCACAGTTGTGTTGTGCGATGCAAAGGCGTCCTGGATTTTTCAGTGCTCTGCTTGGAGGCTGCTTCACTGTGGGTTACGTCCTGCGACTTTGGGCTTGGGACCCTTGAGACATGTAAAGCTGCAAAGCCAAGCCCTGTGAACCCCACCCGGCCGCAGCGTGGCCGGGGCATGCCGCGGAGGTCTGCGACGTCTTCGGAGCATCGGCGGTGGAGTGGTTCTTCAAGCGCGGAGCCTCGGTCAGGCCGAGTCAGGCCGATTCAGGTGAAAAGCTCGAGACTCTTCGACACTTCGTGACACACGAGTCCAGGCCCCTGAACCTCTGCGACCTCTTGGCGCGGCCGAGCGAATCATTCTGAACTTGGGAAGGCGTGCTTCTGTTCCTGAGGCCATCGTTCCTGTCTACGCCCAGACCGTGGCCGGCGGCTCTGCCGGACAGAGGGGGACCCACGCTTCGTCGTGCGATCCTCTGCAGGTCCGACAGTGGGACCTCGAGTTCCTCCGCGTCCTTCGGGTCCTTCAGCCACTGAAACATCAGGAGCCATTTTTGCTCTGCGCATGTAGCTGATGTTACAGGTGGTGCGCCTCTTCAAGATCGGTCACTACTCGGAAGGCAGCGCAAATTCCTGGTGCTTCCTCTTGATTCATTTGTCTTCCGTGGTGAGGTGTACGCATCATGAATGCTGCCTTGTTCAACAGCCTGCCGGGGGCTTGCAACGTTTACATTCTTCTCTTCTGCGAATCATCTCGGCTCCGGCGGAGGTCTGCTTTGTATGTGCTGATCTTCCTCTTCGTGATTGGTGGGGAGCGGGCGAGAGGAGAGTTGACGGACATGGGGGAATGAAGAGGCCTGGTGACTTTTGCCTCGGCCATTTACTTCACAGAGAAGCTAGCCTGCGCTTCGCTCAGCTTCAGCTTGCTCTCGCTTGCTTTTGATTTTTGCTTCGTCTCCCTCTCAAGGTCCAGATTTCACTCAGGCTAACCTCACCCAGCAGGGTACCTGGTAACCGACGTAAACCGAGAACAGGGTGGAAGCCGCCTTGGGACTCTGATCCCTGACTGTCAGGTTCCTGGAGTACAGCATGGCTGGGGAGCTGAGACTGTTTACTCTGTAAGATCTACACTGTGTATGCTTTTTGTTTTTTGCTTTCTTTGAGGAGTGCGACGTGTCCCGGACGGGGATCGTCAGCTCTGGCTCCTGCTGTGCCTACATGTGCGTCAACATGGGCTCGGGCAGCTTTGCAGCCTGTCAGGGCACCTGGCAGGACCCGAGAAAGGGGGAAGGGGGAGAGAGGGAGGGTTTCTGTGGGACAGTCTGTGTGCTGAGGAGTGAACAGCGGTGTAATTTTGGCTCAGTGTTTTTTGTAATGCTTTGCCAGGGAGAGGTGCCGCCCAGCCGGCCTGTTTCAGCTCCAGCTCCCTGGGATTTGCTCCTTAGGATTTGACTAGGATTTGACAGGTCCAACGGAGACTGGAAGGCCAAACTCTTTTTGCGCTTTGCTTGCGCTTGCTCCTTGTCTTGCCACACCTGCCCTCCTTTTCATTTTCAGGTCGAAGCCCTGCACGATTTGGACATCGACTCGGTTCTCACGGGCATGTTGGGGGCCGGCTTCTGCAGATTCTGCTTGTGTCGTGTTCTTCCCAACTTCAGGTGGTGGGCTGCTGCTTGGGGCTTGGCGACAATCTTGGAGACCTCGGGTGTTGCTTTGGACAGCTATTGGCTCTAGGTGACCATGACGACCGTCGGCTATGGCACAGCCCCCAAAGCGCTGTTGGCATGTGAAGCCCTGAACCCTATAAGGCCCCAAGCCCTCTACCCTAAGCACCCTGGAACCTGAATGCCCCAACTTCTCCCGAAACAGGCATCTGAGCATCTTAAGGTGACATCTATGTGAAGCACTGGACTTCGAAGCTCGTGGCCAGCGTCACCATGGTCACCGGGGCTTCTCAGACTCCAACAACTGCTTTGTCTCACAGGTTTTTAGGATTTAGCGGCTCAGGCTAAGGCTTCCGATGGATTCCACATGCGTTTTGGGTGACTAGTGAGGGGACATGGTTCAAGGTGTCCGGTGGAGGCCTTGCCCAGTTGAGCCTAGCAGAGTTCCGTACAAGCCAAGTTGCTGATCATCGCCATGCCCTTTGCCATTGTTGGGACCAAGTTCAGCGAGGCCTGTGTGACACTGGGACAGCTCCCCGTTGAAAAGTGGGGGGTCCTTGCAGTTGACACCCCCGCCCAACAATCCCCGTAACTTTGATGGTCCATGCATCCCCCTGTAATTCATCCCCGCAAAGGGCTGATAGTGGAGTCTGCTGGCCATAGAAGTTCTCTGAACTTGGAGGCTGCAGGTGACTGCTCCGGGCTCGGGATCGCAGTTGTCGCCATCCAGATGTGATATACTACACATTACTGAACTATGTAGATGATAGGGCATATCAGATCTGTGTATACGAATGCAGAGACCCCGGCCTTTGCACATGTTTGCACTGCAGAAAGCCACCAACAAGTTGATTCTGTAAAGCTATGCTTCTTGGCACGTCTTACAAACAGGTGGCCGCCTCTCTAGAAATCATATCTGAACATGGGTTTGACAGGGGAACGATACCCTTCGCAGAGAAAAGTATTCTTCCTGTACGTTCTTTAAGCACAGTAAAATCACATCTCAATACAGCAATGCGAGAGGTTGACGGAATTCACATGGGCCCCAGAAGTCCATTTGAGTAGTATAGTATTAGGGGATATATTATGGTACTATGGTACCCATTAGAGAGCAATATTATTTCCTCCCCTTGGGTATAGTATGTTATTAAAGAATATACTCTTATCTGGTTCAACCACCAAGAAACACGACTCAGTTCTATGGTACCCAATAGGCTCAAGCATCAGCTTCGCTTTGACGTAGCTTGGGTCGTCAATCAGCGCCTGAAAATCGTCCCCTGTTGCCGTAGCCAGGTACGATGGCGTTTGATTGCAAAGAAAGCTGCATTTCAGTCTTTGCAGCCATATGCCTCCTTAGTTGGGCGTTCCCACGCAGGCGTGTGTACTTGGGATTTCTCTTCTACTCCGCTGTGAAAATCTTCGTTGTAAATTTGTAACTTGAAAGCACATGCACTGGTGGATTCCCATCTACGGCCATAGCCTTCTGACTATCTTTATTGCTTTTTTTTGTGATTTGCAAGCGGCGGTACTTGGGGATTCATCTGTGGCTGTATCGTCATGAATATCAACGTTGCTGCAATGAAACGGACCAACATGAATTACCTATATCAAATGTGTTGTTCTCGGTCCTTTTGACCCACAAGTCACATGCCACGGCCCGCCTTCATGTTGTTGCAAGAACTGCTTTCGAAAGCGCATGCACATGGCGTTTCAGAGCTCCTTGCGTGACGTGACGTGATGCAACAAAACAGATGAAATAAGGTGTAAGGTGTTTTTGGTCCGATTCACCACCAACAACAATGCCACGTGTCCTTGCTTTTTGCCAAAGCTGCTTTGGACTGCGGGTGTTCATGACGTTTCATTTCCGGCGGCGCGACTGACGTGGTTTGGCATGACTTACTGTAGCAGGCTCAGCACAAAGGCCCCTTCGATGCTGCCTCACTTCGAGGTGCAGTTGCAGAGCTGGACCTGGATGATGAAGGCGTTCAAAAGGGTGGTTACATTTAAGTTTTCATCGTGCGCGCGGGTGAGGGGCCTCCTAAAAGCATCCAGGAATCTTTTTGGACTTTTCTGGCTTGCTACCGGGCAGTATCTTCTAGATGCTTTGCGAGTGTGAGGGCTGCCTCGATGGGAAGGCAGTGGCGGTGGTAGCGGCGATCAGCGCTTGACGCTTTCTGCCAGCGGTTTGAGCGAGGACGTGACGACAAGGAGTGGCGCAGAGCTCACATGTTGCTCCCCAGGAAATCATTCCAGACATTCCCCATCCACCCTTTCAACTCGCACAGAGAAAAGGGCCCCGCAGCTTTTCTGAAGTTCAAAGGAGATGCCCACATGCGATTGCAGGACTTCAGAGCTCGTGAAGCAAGGCAGCGCAAAGTCGTTGGCAGAGATGTCCGGAGCCTGAAGGGGCATACGAGAATAGCCCCTTACTTTCACCGGCCTTGAGGGAAGTGCTGCTGGAGACCCTCCGTGGTGAAGTGGATGAAGCTTCGGCTTTGAAGTCCATCCCCCAGCTCTGGAAATAGCAGGCAGCAAGCCGAAGCCCCTCGAGACGCGAGCAGGCAGATGTAGCTCGATCCCCGAATTTCGAGCTGCTAGGATTGCGAGACGCAGCGCACTAGCCACAAAAATCAGGCGACATATCAGTCTCCTTCAGGAATGCCGCGTGAGACATCTGCATCATGACAGCCCAATATCTTTTGCAAGATACAGGAAGGGTCACAGATGATGGGAGGAAGGAAAAACTGCTAGAAAAATACGCTCTCAAACATCATGCTGCGAGATGGCCCTCGCTTGATGTCGTGCGTGCATCAGGGATGCGACGTTGTGCAGTGTGCTCTGAGGAAAGAGATCCTACAGCTACAAGTGCTTCGCGCGGGCCCTGAGAACGCTGGCGATATCTTTAATTTTGAGCATTTTGACCTCTTGCAGGGGACAACCTCTGGACCTCGGTGGAACACGCCTTGGCCCGGCTAGCTTTTGAGGCCTTTTGGGGTTTCTACAAACATATTAAAAAAAGGAGGTGTTCTGTTCAGAAAGGAAAAATTAGGAAACTGGCTGTTGTTATTGTTTACTCCTTTCAGCGGCCCAGGGCATCATCAGTTTGAACGCCCAGATGGTGGACGGCCCCTGGTTCCACGTGGCAGCGCAGCGGAGGGCCAAGGCAGCCGAAATGTTTTCAGTCCTGCTCGGAAGCACGTGCCTTGCTGCACCAGACCACCGTGTTGAGCCCTTACTGCCTGAAGTCCCTGAACTTCATCCACAGGCTCAGAAAGGGTGCAGGAAAGGGCAGGGCAAGGGTGCGATGCATGATTTCCATGCAGGGATTGGTGGGTCCGACGTGGTGGCCCAAGAGCCAAGCTAGGGCTAGGGCAAAGCTACAGCCTTTTGAGCTTCTGCCAGCTCAGAGCTGCGAAGCTGCGAGGCGCTGCCATCGACATAACGTCCTCGTGGATCTTTGAGTCCTTCATCCTGTTCTTGATCGCTGGAAGCTGAGAGGCAAACGCGACAAAGAACCAGGCAGAGGTAGACTTCTCTTCGCATACAATCCTGTCATCAACAAACAATCGTGACTTCCTCAGGTCGCCAATAGCTTTGTGCTGGCCGTGCAGAATTATTACTACGACCAGGAGCCGTTTTCTCATAGAAAGGAAGCCTTGCTCTTTTTTGCATTTCTTAGGAAAACTATTGGGGAAACGTCTTGCAGCGAGATACAGAACTCGTGGATCACCCAAGCCCTCTCGGATGAATCCGGTTGCAGATTGCCTCACTCAGGTCTTCACAATCTTCTTCACCATTGAGTGTGCCATGAAGGCGCAGAATCTTACGAAGTCATCATGCGGTTTGAGACTCTGAAGTTGCACTGAGCCAGATCGTGGCCTATGGCTTCGTAGCCCACTCCCGCGCCTACCTACGAGATCCATGGAACTGGGTGGACTTCACCGTGGTGGCTAGAAACTTAGGCGGCAAAGGCTGCCCGAGCGAGTTTTGTGTTTTTGGTGGACTCAGATGGTGGGCCTGCTGGACACTGCGCAGGCGCAGGGGCAGAACTGAGGGGAAGGGAACACCACTCTCCGCTGCACAGGTGGAGGCCTTGTCCTTCTTGAAGCCCGCTCGCGTGCTGCGGCCGCTCCGATCGCTCTCCGCTGTGTGCGGTCTCCAAGCAAGTCTCAGAGTCTCAGAAGACATGAAATCGCTGAAACGGAATTTTTGCAAGGCCCGGGATCCGGCACTTGTTCCGCACCATCATCCTCTCGCTCCCCGGGCTGAAGGACTCGGCTAAAACCACTTGGCAAGAGGATTCTCCGGTAAGACAGGATGTGGTGCTCTTGGCCTTGTTCCTCCTGGTGATGTTCGGCGTCCTCGGGTCAGGGGCTGGGAAAGTCTCAGCATCTCAGTTCAAGGCCTAGGTTTTGGGCGTTCGGTTTGGTTTGGAGGCTTCACTTCTGGAGCGGCCTGCTGCATCGAAGCTGCCGGCTCACAGCGCAGCCGGTGCCTCGCAGGTTATGCGAGCCTGTCACAGGTTGCGACAGGTGTTGGGCTTTGGAGAGCCCTCGAGCTGAGGCCTCTGCACTTCAGCCATGCCACGGGCCCAAGCTTTCCAAGCAGTCTGTCTTTTCATCTGCTTTTTCGACACCGTTTTGGTTTTCTTTTAGTCCTTGCTGAGACGCTGGGAGCTTCCTGCATGGGCTGGTGCTTTGACGAATCATCCCTGGTCACTGCCGCGGCCCAAGTCAAGGCTGAGCATGGATTGCGGAGTGGGGTTGGAAACAGTAAATTCTCAGCATCCTGCTGGTGCTTCTCATGCTCCGTGGCTTGTACTTTGATTTGTCATGTTATCCGATCTTGAAAGCACTCGATCAACAATTCTTAAGCAGTTTAGAATTGATGCACAGGGCACTGCTAGTGAAGCAGGGTGAACTATAAAGAAAACGGATCTCTGTTGAATCCCGTATGGAAGCTTAATTTGCTGCTTCATTGGAAGAGGGTCCGCATGCCCTTGAAATTGGATTGTCTGAGGTGTCGGATACCACCATCAACTCCTCTCTAGTCTTTGAGGCTTACTGCCAGGGCCTAAGCGGCCAACGCAACCAAGCTTCAAGGTTCGCCTGCTGACGTGGCGACCTTCAAGACAACTCTGACATGAAAATTCTGCGATACCTTCATGACCTGCAACCTAAGGCCGGCCCAGTGCAGACTGCCTCAGTGCCTGGAGGACCAGAGTTTCGTGTTTTGGGTGATGTGCGGCCGGCCAACCACGTTTGCTTTCGGAGCGCAAGGTCTGGGCAGGACTACTTCGTATGGCCCTTGGATACAGAACAGGCCAGAAGCTTCCTTGGCTTTGAACTCTTTTGGCAACCTGTCCTGTGCAGGAACGGTTCTGCGGCGAGCATGCCTGTGCACGCCATGCTTTAGGTGGGGGCCTGGGAAGCTGGGAAGACTCATGCTTTTTCACGCGAGCTTTTGAAAGGCTCCGAAACTCCAGACCAGGCGGACCCTCAAGCTACGGTTGACTTGCAAGATGTGTGAAGTTCCTCTTTTTGAGGTGTTGCAGGCTTTGGGCTCCGTGCAGGGCAACGAGGCGAAACTTCTTTTTCAGGGAGGACCTCCTCTTACTTGTGGTTAGTGGGGAATGGGAGCATCGCTATTGGGGTTCTTTTGTAATAAGAATTGGGATCGGCACGTGGTGAGATCTGGCCAGGGTGAATGCTGTCCAGGGTGCTGTCCAAGGTCCAGCCCAAGGTGCTGTAGGGTGTTGTAAGGGTCGGGTGCTGTCGAGGTGCAGGGTGCTTCCGAGGTGCTGTTCAGGGTGCTGTTCAGGATGGTGTTCAAGTCAGGGTGTTGAAGGTGGTGTCAGGGTGCAGTCCAGGGTTGTCCATGGGGCGACACGCAGTTCCAGCCCAAGGTGGCGGGGTGCTGCGGGGTGCTGTTCAGGTGCTGTAGGGTGCGGCAGCTGCATGGTGCGGGTGCTGTCCAAGGTGCTATCCAGGGTGCTGTGCAGGGCAGGGCACTGTCCAGCATGCTGTGTTGTAGCGTAGCTGTTGGGTTCTTGTGCTTATCGAGTGTGCCGGAAAGACCAGCAGGGCAGATCTAGTTTTGGCCGAGCGCGCGCAAAGAATCAAGAGGGCCCAAAAGCTCTGCCCGGCCCACTGTTCTCGAAACCCAGATCCGGCCCAAGAGCTGTTCTTGCTTGTCTTGTGCCAAACTTGAAACCCCGATCTAGCCCAAGTGCTGTTGATGGGCCAAACTTGAAGCCCAAATCGGGCCCAAGAGCCATTCCTGTGCCAAACTTGAAACCCAGATTCAGCCCAAGCGCTGTTCTTGGGCCAACTTTGAAATCCAAATCCGGCCCGACAATTGTTCCTGAGCCAAAATTGAAACCCAAACCCGACCCGAGAGCTGTTCTTGGGTCAAACTTGATACCCAGCCCAGATCCAGCCCAAGAGCTGTTCTTGGGCCAGACTTTAATTGTTCTTGTGCCAAACATGACAGCCAGATTCTGCCCAAGAGCTGTTCTTGTGCCAAATTTGAAAACCAGATCCGGCCCGAGAGTTGATGCTTTCCACAGGAACAGCCTTGGACATGTTAAAGGTCCAACACATTCGGCCTCCGTCCGCCATGTTGTGCTTCAGGCTGGGATCCGCTAATTTCTTTTTGGAGCCTTTCATCTTTCTTGGGTGCGCTTGCGGGGATCCCTCTTTTTGCCTCGGCCTTTACCTTTCGGGCTTGTTGTCATCAGCGTTTCCTTTTGAGAGGCCATGCCTCGGCAAGGGCGTGAGATGGAAAGTGACGTAAGGATCGAATTGCAGATTCGGCAGCGCGTTGTCCATTGGCGACACACCGGTTTGGCAGCGGCTCAATGACGGAACAAGCTCGGCCAACCTGCGGCCCCGTCGGCCCTCGAGAGTTGCTCGACGATGGCTTCGCCGTACTTGAGAGGCCGTGGCGGCGCAAGACGATTGAGTCCTGCGGGAGGGTCTTCATAAACTCTTGAGTCTTTTGCCCTGCGCAAACGCATGGTTGAAAACCAAAGGTCCAAAGTCATTGGTGGTGCGTTCATTCCAATTTTCATGCGCCGCGCTATGCAAGTACCCGCGAGCCTTGGCCCCTAGTTTGCCACATCCTGTAGCAGAGATGTCGATGCTCGTGCGCCGCAATTCCGCGAATGCAGGAGACCCCAAGTTTGTTTTTCAAATCAATGACTTTAAACAAGGGCACATATGGGTAGAGCATGCCGATGGCAATGCGCCAGCCCTGTCATCTCACGCTTCTTTCCAAGGAAAGCGACTGTAGGTCGCAAGCGTCCTCCTTCCCAAATTTAAGGAAAACTCATGTGATGCCCTCCCTGTGCGCCCCAGACACGCTGCGCCTAGCCGCGTCGCGATTCTGTGTTCATGGAGGGTTTCTGCGGGAGCGCGGGATTGTTTGCAGCATTTCGAAGGCGTGGTCTAGCAGCAAGTCGTGGCGTTGATGACAAAGTTGTCGCAGGTCTTTGCTCTCCCTCGTCGCCGTTGACGTTGCTACTGGCAATTGCCAAGCCTTGCTACTTCGTTCGCTGGAACGACCTAATTGCTAAAGGGGCTTAGGTGCAGTTGATCTCAACGTCTATGCCTGCGACTGTGCGATGCCACAGCGGCTCCGGGAGCCCCAGCAGCGGGGCGGAAAATGCGTGCCATGGCTTCTTGACTTGAAGGCGAGCAGCGCTTGCTCAGAGAATTGCATAATTGGTGCAGCGGAGAAGGGCACCTATACAGGGAAAGCATGGGCGGAGATGGAGTTCAGTCCGGGCAACAGCCGCGGCAGGCAAGCAGCAGTGAACAGGGCGGTTGGCAAAGTCAATGGCAAGACTGGCAATGTCAGCCTTCATGGCAAAGTAGCTATCATTGGTCAGAAATGAATAGGACTGGCAATCAGCAAGCAGATCCGTGGCAATGGGGCTGGAGCAGGCGCTCCTCCATCGACTCGGCAAGCACCAGCGCGGGCGGAGTCGAGCAGACCCAGAAGAAGAAGTGGTGAGACACGCCCTTGGGTGGACTTGGGGTGTGAATGGGCAATCGAGAGAACGTGGTTCAGTCAGTTCAGTCCTACCAGAGACCTCTGCCGTTGGTGGAGCAAGCAAAGCAGCGCTACTAAGTCTGATACTGATAGTGACTATCTGATAGTGCAAGCGTGGCTGCCTCTGAGGAAGGACACTCATCGACTTCTACGACAACCTCCAAGAAGAACTCTGGGAAAGAGGTTGGAAGCTGTGGCTCCTGGAGCATCAGCGGATAATGCTCCAACCTTCGCTTCTGGGACATGTTGTGGATATCCAAGGTCGCTGTAAATGTCCCCCAAAGAATTGGGACCCTGGGGGCTCGTCGTGTTTGCTGGCCCGTTGTTAAAATTAGGCGCTTGCGCAGGGCCCAATGAAAATCCAGGCGGTGCAAAAAGCGCTGCAAAAAGAGAAATACTTGGCGTGTAGAAGCAAGCAAATCTTGTAACCGTTGCAAGCTAACACAGCACCAATGTCTCTGCAAAGCCTGGAGTGGAGGTGGTGATGTATCTGCGCACTATCTAGACCGCAAGTAGATTCGAGCCGAGAAGCTTGTCTAGAATAATTTGCGCCCCTTCATCACACTTAAGCTGCCGATACGCAAGGTCTCCGTCGCCCTCCACGCCTGTCCTGACATCCTCTCGACGAGTCGCCCGGCCTGGAAGCACTTGTCGATCGAAGTCGTAGACTGGAAGAGGTGCAGGCGTCTTTGATACTCTCTCATCGAAGACCCTCGATCGAATTCCGGCGCCAGCTAAGAAAAGATCATTTCGTCGAGCGCAGAGACGAGCTATGAAATCTTCAACTGGGGAACCGGGTATAGAGGCAAGAAGCTCACTGTTAAACAGCTTGGAGTTCCGCAGCCGTCCCCATGCAAGCCGCAGCTTCCATATGGGATGCCCAAATTGCCATCAAAGGTGAGCGACTCAGAGCGCTTAGCCTCAACCTTGTGGTGGTATTTGCTCAGCTACGTACGATGTGCTAACGCAGTGGTTACAGCAATGTGGCAATGCGTATGATGTCCTTCTTTTTTAAGAAACGCATCATGGTCTTGGGAAGTCAGAAACTTGCTGCAATATTCCTGGATGGACGATTGTCAGCAGCCCAGATCCAGCGCACAGGTGGGCTGGAGTGGCGACACTGGTTTCTCATCAAGTTGCGTTGCCAACGGATGTGCAGTTTCAGACATGGGCGCCTGGTAGGATACTGCAAGTACGCATACCTGCAGGAAGGGGCAACCGGAAAACCCACATCGATCTCTTCAACGATTATACATGGGCCTGGGACCCGGACCCTAATAAGAAAAGACTTCAGAAGCAAAATGAGATCCTCATGAAGTTGGACAAGGCGTTACGCACTGTTCCGAGAAGACAT